CAATGATGGTTTTGCTTCTAGGATATACACTTAAAAAGAACTCACTGTCCCAGTGGTGGCCACTGATGATGGCCTTTAGTAAATCGGAGCTGCTTAACCATATTGATGTCTAATTTCTTTTAACCACAATGAACTGTCCTTCTTACCAACAGCGAAGCACTACAGGAGGCCGCTGTGGCATTGCTTCCTTGACCAGCTCATGGTGTGTGAATGTTATACAATTGTCACTCAGATATATTTTTTAAATGTAATGTTATATAAGATGATCATGTGATGTGTACAAACTATGGTGAAAAGTGCCAGTGGTAGTAACTGTGTAAAGTCTCTAATTCACAACATTAATTCCTTTAAAATACACAGCCTTCTGCCTCTGTATTTGGAGTTGTCAGTGCAACTCATCAAAGAAAACTGCCTAATATAAAAATCATATATATGGTAATAATTTCCCTCTTTTGTAGTCTGCACAAGATCCATAAAAGATTGTATTTTTATTACTATTTAAACAAGTGATTAAATTTAGTCTGCGCAGTGAGCAAGAGTTCACATGCATTCTTTTATACTGCTGGATTTTGTTGTGCATCATTTAAAACATTTTGTATGTTTCTTATCTGTGTATACAGTATGTTCTTGAATAATGTTCATTTGTCAGGAGAACTGTGAGAAATAAACTATGTGGATACTGTCTGTTTATATTATAGAATGCTTGTTGTGAGTTCCTTTTGGTTAGATTTTGGAGTTTTTTTACTAGTGTTAAAACAAAAAAATTCTTTTCAAGGGGTTACTTTACCTTTTTGTCTTTTAAAAAAAGAGTAAGGACTATAATATTATGGAAATGGGTTGAATGTGAGAAGCTCTGGAAAGATGGTTATGTTTTCAACTCAGTGTGTGCTGAGACACTAAATTAAACTGGGTTACAAAAAGAACACACACCATGGTTAAAGAAGGCGGCTATTATTAATGTCCAGATGTGAAAACTATACTTAGGCTGAAAATTTTATTCTTTTGGAGGAAAGTAAGCCCCCCCTCACGTGTTTAAACAGATGGTTTTTGAAGATCACTGTATGCACTGACAATTATTATTGACTATTGGAAGAGATGATATAAATATTCTAAGATTAAATATTAATGCCTTATTTTTAGAATTTTTTCCAATTTTAAATCAAGGGGACATTATTTACTAGTCCTTCAATACGTTGTGAGGTACGAAAATCATACCTTGAATTTTTTTAATTGAAAAAAGTAATATAATATTTTAAATATAGAAATATGAGGGTTTTAAAATAATATATTGATTAAATATTACTGATGATGCTGATAAAATATATTGCATCAGAAAGAACAGGAAATGGACTTAACCTCTCACCCTGGAATTATTAGTTGGGAGAAGAGGGAATTGTTAACATTTGGGCATGTATTAAATGTTAAATGAATATGCCAGGAGTTCTACATGTAGCAAGACAGCAGCACTTGGTGGAAACTTGTGTTTTATAGAAATAATACCAGTTGGTTTTGGAGAGCCATTCAGGTCCATTCAAAAAGTCCCATAAAGTATGCTTTGCAAGAGGGCTGTGTGTGATACAATTCTGATCTAAACAATACACTAAATAAATCTTAAATGTATTTTCCAAGGTCAGCGATTTTGAGAATTTTGAGTGGCAAAGAGCATTATTTTCTGCTTGACTAAAGATGTGTTTATTTTGCATTTTTCAGCTCCAAGCATATAGTCCTCCTGGCTTTAAAATGCTCTAAAGGGCATAGTAGTAGTAATGTGTTGTCATTTTAATTGGTGGACTGGAAGAATGGGCAAGGGTGTCTTTTGCAAGTAGTCCTTCCATCTCCTATAAGGAAGTATTGCCTTTAAGAGGCAACATAGACTGACTTGTTAAAAGCATTGTATATTAAGTGGTATTTAGTAGGTCAGATGTATTTCCTGAGATATGTTCAAGTTATTTGGTAAGAATTGAAGGAACTTTGACACCTAAAACCACTGATCTAAGCTTTAGGCAGAGGAGGTTTTGATTGGTGTGGTATGCACTAATAATAATAGCAAATACTAATGAACTGCTTACTGTGTGCCAAGCAAGCATATGATAGCAGATTTAATTCTCACCACCTTAGGAGAAAGGTGTGTTGATTATCCTGTTTTCATATGAGGAGATCTAGCCAGAGAGCTTAAATAACTTGCTCAAGGTCATACAGTTAGTGAAGTTTAACCTAAACAGATTGCTCCAGAGGCACTACCCAATCTCTGGAGCAAGAATATTCCCTTTGTGTCAGGCGTCACTAAGGTGTTGCAGGTGGAAGTGTGCAGGGGTTGCTTTTCAGTCTTTTTTTCTGGTGTGGTGTGGCTCCTAGAGTTACAAACCTTAGCACAGAATAGAGAAGCAGATGTGTGGATGGGGGAAAAGCACTGAAATCGTCGGCCATGGTGAGTTAGAAAACCACACATACATAGAATTTACGTAATTCTGATTTGACAGCAGACATGTGACCATGAGGCTTTAGGCAAAGTCTCCTGTCTGAGACAATTTGTTTCCATGCATGTTTGGTGCCTCTCACTTAACCTAATAGTATGCCTTATCCAGTTCTCCTTTTGTTTAAATTACATTACAGAACAGTTATATACTGAGATATGAAGAACTCTTTTTTTTTTTTAAGAAAATAGTATATCACAGGTAGTAAGGATAAATACTGTTTTGTGAAATTCCTTTTTTAGTTGTAACTGTGGCATGCTATATAAACTGTATTTTTTTAATGTGGGTAACAGTTTGAAAGCCATTGCTCTAGGTGCACTGGAAGTCTCCAAATAACTAGTTCTTTTCTCACAAGGATTATGGAGGCATTGTCATTTTTAGGTTATTAAGTGTCTTTATTTCTTAACCTTATGAAAATACGCTTCTATTGATACGATCCCCCCCCATGACTTTTTTTTTTTTTAAACTTCTCATGTAGCCGATTAAATGGGTTCTTGAGAGTGGTATCAAATTTAGCTCCATGAGGACAGAGACCATCCATGTCTGTCTGTATCCCTATGGCCTGCCTGGCTCTTAGTAGATTTTCAGTAAATATTTATTGGTAGTATGATCAGTGTTTCCATGAGTTACATTTTTTCTCCAGGAAGGTAGGAGAGAGAGACCACTTATGTCTGAGTGTGTCTGTGAGTGCTCATGTGGGGCCCTCAGAGGGCCTGCCTCAGAGGATCTTTCCAGGGTTCTGAGAGGACTGAAGAATTGCATCCTATCTCTTCTGGAGGATGTGGTTCCACCTTGGGCGACTGAGAAGATTATACTTCTCTCTGGGTCCCCAGCTAGGCCATGTATCTTGATTCTCTGCCATGTTTTTAGAGTGAAAGGACACTAGAGTGGAAATTCTGGATGCCAGTCCCAGTTGTGAGGTGCACTCAATAAATGTTGACTAAAAACCACCTTTTATTGAACAGTAGGAACTAGTAAATGATTTAGAGGTATTAACTTGTTTAATCCTCACAACTCTTCTATGAGGGTGCTTATTATGATCTCTACTGTACAGGGAAATAACGAAGTTTCAGAGGATTTAAACGTTAGCTCTCAAAAATTGTTATGTGTGGAACTGAGGATATAAAGCTTTGCCCTTAATGGAGCTTATAGTCTAATGCAGCAGAATAGCGGTAAACAAGTACATATGAAATATTACGTAAGGTTAAGCAGAGATAAATGCTGTGAAGAAAAATAACGCTTAAAGAAAAATGATGGAAGAATGGGGATCCGCCTGTCAGTTTAGATGGAATAATCAAAGAATGTCTTGATGACGAGTGTAAATTTGAACAGAGACCTGGACGGAGTGAAGGAATTAGCTTGTGGATAACCTGGTGGAAGAGGCAGAAGGATAGCAACAAGGGTCCTGATGGAGCAAAGAGTTTGGCTTGTTCAGGCAACGTTAAGAGGGCCAGGTAGCTTGAGCCAAATGAGCAAGAGGAGAGTATAGTTGATGGGGTGATACGAAGTTACAGGGCCAGAGCAGGTGAGGCCTTGAATGTGGACCACTGTAAAGGAGTTTGGATCATGTTCTGATGTCTTATTTCCATACACACAAGGTCTTTTGCTAGGCAGACACCTCTGAGATCCTTTTCTGCTTTAAAATCCTGTGACTTTAAAGTAGTGATGTTACTTCAAGCCATCCACATCAGTAACATGTTTTAGCAATCTACTGCATCTCTAGACACTCTTCAGGGGCAAAGCCATTTACCCCTGCTGGTTGGTTGGTTGGTTTTTTTTTTTTTTTTTCAAGTGGGCAGCCAGCTACAGCCATAAAAGCCATGGCTGGCCCTGTCTGCTGCCCTGCCATCTCATTGCCCTTAACTCAACCTGTCAGAGCTGTGGTAGGCATGGACTGTGTTTGCCAGTATGTGGTATGTGTTTAAAGAATGTTAATCCCTACAAAGAGTCATTTTGTGTTTTTGGCATAGTGATAATTTTCATCCTCTAACTCTCTCTCATTTGCTGGAATGCTCCTTGTGCCCCCTTATAGAGAGTGTGACAACTGGGGTAGTAATGAAGCATTTGACAACTGTGTGAGTTGTAGGAACATGCCCCTTTTTGTAATAGAGGCATAATTGTAACCAAAGAAGTTTAACTTTTTCTTTAGCAAACACTGACATTTCTGTTTTAAGAATGACTTCTAGAGCAAAAGGAAATACAAAAATTACCATGTATCATGAGTACACTGAGAATTCTCTCTGTAATAGCTCAAAACTGATCTATGACCAAAATTAAAACCATATGAGCATATCCTAAATTTCAACTATTACTGTGTTTGCTTTTAATTCTGTTTGGAATAAGGCTTCAAGTGCTTTCCAGAATGATGTGAGTTACAAATAAATAGAAAAAGAGTTTTGTTGTGTTCCATTTATTTTATTTGTACATATCCATTTCAAAAAAAAAATGACTTTAAAAATACAGTTCTGTCCCAGAATTGGATCCTTATCAGCACAACCACTGAAGGGAAAAAAAAAGTCATGCAAACTGAAACTATGGTCTTTTGTAGTGACTGAATGGAAGATGCAATTATTCCGGTAGAATATATAAGAAGCTCTGATTTGGCAACTGATAGCACAAGAGAGAACCCAAATTTCACTGGTTTGAAGCAAGGAAAACACAGTTTTACATATGGATATGATAAGGTTTGCACAGCCCTGTTGAAGGCCTGTATGAAACGAATGTAGCTCTGGGATTTGTTAAACATCATGTGCTGACATGCCTCTCCTACCCACATCAGTTTGGTTACTGTTACTTTATTTCTTACTTGCTTAGCAGTAACAATAAGTAAATAGGTGATCATATGAAATCAAAACTGTAAGCTGACATTAGTCCAGTGAATGCAGTAACAAATCATCTCACGCTCTAAAGTTATGTTTGGTCATTGGTATTAATGTATCATTGCTGAAATGCACCACCAGGTATAAAAGAGATCAGGTTAGACAATTTATCCAGTTTGTTTTCCTAGCCATTATGACAGCAGTCCAAGTAGCCAGTTTCCGAAAAATGAATGGACACATGTTATTGGTGACTAGTCTGGGTTTTACTGTCTGGGGAAAGCTATATAATTTCACACTGTATTACCTCTTATCAAATTTAATCACATTTCTTATCAACAGTTGGGGTTGTCAGCCCAGTCTCTGTGGCTCTGAGCTACTGCTAGCGAATGAGACTTGAGGAAATAGCCACTAGAGGAGATGCCCAGGCCTGCCTCTCAGATGAAGGCCCTTCATCAGGCAACAGCATGTCAGTCCCGGGATGAGGAAGGGAAATGTGCTGCGGAGTTAGGGGCGCCAATCCCCTGCTTGACAGAGGGAGAGCAGACAGACTGCCACGAGTCCTGGGGGCACCACCGGCGCACACCGGCACTCACTGCTACTTACACACCAGCAGCTCCGAGGCACGGCCGGGACCGCAGAGCAGTGTGCGTGCCGGGGGGCGGACAGCTGTGGGGAGCGGAGCAGAGGGTGGAGCATACGAAATACATCATGCATGATTTCCAGACACCTCTCAGGAAGGTCGACTTGGGCAGCAAACAGCAATGTTAGGATTGGGGCGGTGGCAGGGGCACTAAAGGTTTAACTTGAAACATACTGTGTTAAGGGATGAACCTTTTAATATTTTTCTGTCTCCACTCTCCTTAATGCACATGCTTTTTTGCTTTCAGAAAATAGAGTCAATAGCTGTGCAGAGTTGAAGAAAAACTTCCTCTGGCGTCCCCTCTGCATTTACCTATATTTAAAAGGGAAAAAAAGATAAAGTTAGTCTTTTTTTTTTTTTTTTTTTTTAAGATCTTATTTAGAGAGAAAGCGCAAGAGCATAGGGAGAGGCAGGGGAGAGAGAGAATCTGAAACCAACTCTGCACCCACGACCCTGAGATCATGACCTGAGCCAAAATGAAGAGCTGGACGCCTAACTGACTGAGCCACTCAGGCGTCCCCAGAAAGTTAGTCTTAAGAAGTATTTGTAGATAAGACTTTCTAATAATAAAAAATGAATTACCTGCTCATAACTTGTGCAAAATTTTAAAATAGGAGACCCCAAAACCACAGAGGAAAAGTGAGTAGTTGTTTAAAAACTAGGTTTGTCTACAATGAGATACCACCACACACCTATTTGAACGGCCAAAATCCAAAAAACCCACCAGATGCTGGTGAAAGTGTGGCACAATGGGAATGCTCATTCTTTGCTGATGGGCATGCAAAACGGTACAGCCACTTTGGAAGACACTTTGGCAATTTCTTACAAAATTAAACATTCTTAACCATATCATCCAGGAATTGTGCATCTTGCTATTTACCCAAAGGAGCTGAAAATTTATGTCCATACAAAAACTTGCACATAGATGTTTATAGGAGCTTTATTCATAATTGCCAAAACTTGGAAGCAACTAAGATTTCATTAGGTGAGTGGCTAAACTGTGGTATCCAGACAGTGGAATATTATTTAGCACTCAAACGAGTTACCAAGCCATGAAAAGACTTGGGGGGAACTTAAATTCATATTACTAAGTGAAAGAAGCCAATCTGAGAAGGCTAAATACCATATGACATTATGAAAAAGGCAAAACTAGGGAGACAATAAAAAGAGAGGAAAGAATGGGTGGAATAAAGAGGATTTTTATGATAGTGAAACTTAATGGCATATACAGGTCATCACATATTTGTCAAAATTCATTGAGTGCGAACACCAAGAGTGAACCCTAACGTACATTAACGTGGACTTTCGGTGCGAATGATGTGTTGAGGTAGGTTCATCGATTGTGACATACTACGCTTGTGTGGGATGTTGATCATGCGGGAGACTGTGTTGTGTTTGGGGACAAGGGTATAATGAGAATTCTGTACTTGATGTTCAGTTTTGCTGTGATTTAAAACTCAAAATCTATTTAAAACAACAAAAACTAGGTGCCTTGAGGTGAAGTATCATTGAGGCTCATGGAAAGACGAGTTAAGACTTCTGAACATTTGGAGCAGGACAGGAATAGGGCACGGGGTGGGACCGCAGAGAAGAAAGCGAAAGCTGGGACCGCAGCTGGTCCCCTTGGACGTTGTTGGTGCACTACCGCTGGTGCACTACCGCGAGAGGCCTGTCCCGGAGGAAGCAGGGAGGGAGCTGATTCCTGGGCATGAAGGCACTACTACGTACCCTTCCTCTCTCAAAATTTCCTAACATTGTCCCAGCCACGGAGGAGTGTCCCACCACACCTGGGACAGCCACAGGAAGAGGAGGCCTGGTGACCCACCTAAGACTCGTGAGAGGGGTGGGCAGCGAGCCTGCTGAGATGTAACTTTTTCAGGCTTTATCTCCACACGTTCTCATTTGCTAGGGTTGGGCTGGGCCATCTAATCCGCATATTTAGCACATTCCCCAGATGATTTTGCTGTGGGTCATCTTGGACCACAGTCTGAAAAACACTGATTTCTTCCACTCTTGTCTACCTTCTTTGTGCAAAGTAGTTTCGATTTCACAACGCTAGGGACTTCACAGATCTGAAGGTAAAATAAATTCTCAAACCCTCTGCCAAAAAAACCCCCACCACATTTAAATATCCCAGAAAATAGATAACAACAATGTTGATAGAAGTGATGTTTGTAATAGCCCCAAACTGGAAAAACTGCAAAAGTCCATCAGCAATAGATGGATAAATAAATGGTGGCATAGTCACATGATGGAACAGTATAGTGATGGAAGAAATCCTACAGCTACAATCAGCAACAGGGGCTAATCTCTCAAAGCTGCAGTGAGAGAAGGAAGCAAGGCCCGGAAGAATATGCAGACAGTATGATTCAAGTTATGTAACATTCAAGAACAAGCAACGCTAAATTGTGTCGGTTAGGGATCCATACGTGAGTGGTAAGTCATAAAGAGAAGCAAGAAGGTGCTTATCCTAAACTTCAGGAAAGTGGCCACTTCTTGGAGAGAGGAAGGAAGAAGTGACCTGGGGAGACCCAGGGAGCCGCCATTCCCTGCGACTTCTGGGCCCATGACGTGATTACACGGTGTTCGTTTTATAATTCTTCAAACCATACACGCTGCTTTTGCAGTACCGTGTGTATGATGTATTTCACAATAAGGAAAACATTAAAATTTAAAAAAATGTAAGCACCCCTCCCCCAGTAAATGTGTCCTACCCGATCCTTCCAGGAGAGTCAGAGGCTTTCCACCTGGGGGCAGAGACTTGGGCTTTGCCGCGTCTGTGTCCCTCACAGCACCTTGCCTCTTGCTTTTCCTCTCCTTCCTTTGCCTTTCAACCAACAAGCATTTCCTGGGTGCTAACAATATATTACGTGCTGGAGATACCAAACTGAACCAGACAACAGGATCCTGCTCTCAAGGAGCCCCCAGGTCAAGGGCAGAGACAAAAACTCTTTAAAACAGGAATTGACACGGTTTGAGGTAAGTACAGGAGCACCTTCCAGGATGTTGGGAGGGCAGGGACACTTCCTGAGGAAAAGTTGTCATCATCTAAAACGATAAACTTCACCATTAATGAAGCGTAAGTGTTTTTATTTATTTTTAATTATTTTTTTTCCACTTCTGCCCATGCTTGCTAGCTCCCTTCTCTCTCTCTCATCCTCTCGCAAGCCCTCCCTTATCCCCTCCCTGACTCTCTCCCTCCTTCCCTCCAGTCCCTCCCCTCCTCCCTTGCTCCCTCATTCCATTCCCTGCTCCCCAACCTCCATGCTTTTAAACAGGGAATTCTGACAAGGATCTTGGAAGACAGATACGGTCGTCCCCATTTCACACATGACAAAACTGAGGCTCTGAAAGATGAATTAAATTTCCCAAGGTCGCACAGCTAAGTGTGTGGCAGGGACGTGGTCAAAACCCAGGTCTCTGACTCCAAAGTCCTTGCTCTTGTGACTAGGTGATATTACATCCACCAGTTCAGAATGGCTGCATGGTTGAATTTGGTTGGGGCAGCAAGGAGTGAAGCTGGAATGGTAAGCCTTTGTTGACCATAAAGAGGCCTGTAGATTCTGTTTCATGAGAATACTGGGGAATTACACGTAAGGGTTTTTAAAGTATGAGTTGATACAATCAATCACAGGTACATAAAAGTAGTTGATAAATATTTGCCTACTCAGAAAATTGCAAGAGGGCTGGAGTGTAAGGCAAAGAGCACTGTATCAGGAGCGATGATAACCCGGTACTATCTCCGGTGAGCTTCGGGACTCAGACCAGGCATTCATCCCCTTGGGGCCTCAGTTTCCTCCTTTGTTCTGTAAAGGGACTGATGTCAGACATGGTAACCTCCAGGTTTGGTGCCAGCTCTGATACTCTATGCTATTCCAAATCTCGGTTGACATTTTCGTGGTGGTGAGGTGCCCATCAGTGGGTGTCAGGATTGTTCGTTGGGTGTTGACAGTCAAGCTGGGCCTACAGGACTAGATCTGCATTTGAAGATAATAAAGAATGAGAGCCTTCTCTGTGGAGAGACCAGCATGTGCAAAGGGATAGGGATCTAAAAGCACGTGGAGTTTTCAGGGAACAGTGGGTCATTTGTTGACGATCCAGCAAATTCTGCTTGACTTGGGGGAAGGAGAAGAGGAGGCTGGAAAAATAGCTCGGGATGAGATTTGCCTGTTGCCAGACATTTTCTATAAAAGCAATCACACGGTAAATGTGTTTTTTGGTGACTTTTTTACCCCTCTAAGCATGTTTTCAAGTTTCGCCCATATTTTATTTAGTAGGTATCAATACTTCATTCCTTTTCCTTTTTATTGCCCCACAATGCCTTATTATCTTTAGCCTGAATGTCCAAGCCTTGGAATGAATGTCTGCCCTCCTAACATCCCTTTTTGGCAAACCTGCCACTGCCCTCTGCCCTGTGGAACCCGCCCTTGCCTTATCAAACCCTGGAAGGAGGGAAAGGGTGTTCACTCACTTCCCTGGCCCCTTCTCAGGTTCCCTCCCATGTAGTGGGGGTGGGTTAGAAGGTTTAGATCTGTGAAATGCCTTATTGTTTACACTGTCCATGACCGTATTAGTGGCAGATAGGTCAGGTCTCTGGTCCCCCTGCTCAGCGAATTCCCTCATGGAGAATATTCTAAGAGAACAGTTAAGTGACTTCGATATTTTCATATATTACTCTAACTCAAAGGAAATGGGAAAGAGCCAACTTACTGAGGGCATTTTAAGTTACAGGAACTATTCTCCGTGCTTACAACTTTAACACATTGAAACCAGCTAACAAGGTGCTAGTGTTGAACATCCTTAGCGAACAGATTTTGCTAAGGTTTTGCTCCATAATCAGTGCTTATGCTGTATTAGTTTATAGCAACTCTCTTTTCCCACGAAGAGTTAAAGTAAGCCTCACGACGTCCTTTTCCCAAAAGACCTCCAAGTCTGACTTGGCAGAGTCAGAATGTATGCGGTTTTAATGTATTTAATTGAAACCTAGGTAAGTGGATTTGCTTTTGACTTTAAGAACCTATCTTTTTGGGTCTGAGACTTGATATAAAATCCTGCAGAAAGTGCTCAGTATAGAAAATACTTTTTTTTTTTTTAAATAAAAACAGCTAAGAGCAAGTGAACAGGAAACACGATCGAATCTCTGAGTTTTCACCTGACTTCTCAAAGGAGAGCACTCAGGGATAATATTTCCCAGCAGTCAGCAGAACATGTCGCTCAATTAGGAGAATAGTTACACTGCCTTAGGAAATGCCCATTTTGTCTATTCTTTCTCTCTAGTTCTGTGAATTTGCAAGCCATAAAACTGGGCTGGT